GATTTTTATCAGTTTTTTGATTTATTGATAATAAAAATAAACGATTTTTATTAGATTTCAACTGTCAATGATTATTGACAAAGGTTACAATCAAGTTTTGTCTCTAATATTCGAGCACAAAACTGGTTTAATGGCAATCCACCGCGAAATTTAAGTGGCTTTATTAGTGATAAAACTAATCGATTACTCGGATGGATAGTTATGCGTGAATTACGAGTCAAACCAGGTTTGTTGTCACACTGATTTGGGGTGTGGGTGTGGGTGTGGGTTTGGGTGTTCTCTTCATCCACTCCGACCCACACCCTTTCGATAATTTTCCCACTACTTTCTACCTATAATCAATTTTTCATTAGAATGTGCACCAGTCACCTGTTGGTGAGCAATAAAAGTCGGCAGCTCCTTTTTTTGTAATGCGATTGCCCTTCATTTTTGCTAGATAATTTTTTTTCAGCGTTATCGATGTGTTACCTAAGGACAATCGATTAATTGAAAGGTATTCCTGTATTTATGCTAAAATATCACATGACGCCCGAAGAGAGAAGACTGGAATTCTGGCTCAAGGAGTTTTCGGCCCTGCACGCAATTCCTTTAGGACTTTCGGTTCGTGCTTAAATTGACCTTGTTGACTCTAGAAAACCTAATTTCTTTCATTAGTTGCTAAATATTGTAGTGTAGGTGTGACTGTCGATGTAGCTAAATCGAAGGACGGTAATCACACGCGCACCTACACCCACACTCACACCCCACATCCACACAAGCCCACACCCACCTCACATCCACACCCACACCCACACTCACAGCCACACATGCCTACACCCCACACCCACACTCACAGCCACACACACCCACATCCACATCCACATCCACACCCCACATCCACATCCTAGCAAAATCAAACTCACAGGCCACTACAATTGAATATAAATATCGTGAATGAGAAGGCATCTGCTCAGAAAATAAAAGCCTTACTGATGTTTATGGGTAAATTGAAAAAATATAAATTATCTGAAGAGAAATGAGTGATAGGAATGGTGTATGTTGCAATAAATAATGGCGGCAAAGTCGATATTGAACACTGCTCTGATTCGATATAAAATAACGTCAGAAGAAACATCTGTTCCAAAAATAAAAATTCTGTTGAAGTTTGTAGGTAAACTGGAACCGACAGTAGACGGAAAAAGAGAACTGAGTAATAGGAGTAGTGAGTATGGTAGTCAATAACAGCGTTTCTCCTGAGAACGAAGTGCGGTAAGGTGGATCTAAGAGGAACCTATTGTTACATGGCAGAGGTGCGGACTACGGTATATGGTTTTTTTTTGTCTCGAAGATTGACCACTGTCGAAGAATAGAGAAGAAGAACAGTAGATAGAAGTGGAAGAAAAAACTACATGTGCATGTACAGATAAGAGATGGACCGAAAGAAGGAACAATGAATCAGCATCTGGCCTGTTATTTAGCACGTCTCACATGTTTAAAATGAATTGTCACCGTTCTTCCGAAAGAAGAATGAAAGAAGGCAAAAATTAGAAAAAAGTAGCAAACTAGAGCTAACATATTCGCAAGCACAAAACGGAACACTACGTAGTAATACAGACTGCTAAAGCGCGTGTAGCGGTGCGTGAAAAATGAACGTAGAGAGCAACGGAGGATAGGAGCTCGATCAAACATCGTTAGTATGATAGCGAGATATGCATGATGATTATTAAGCATACGAGAATACAAAATTATATCAGCAAGACCGGTGAGAGAATGTTCTCTGTGATGAGTTGTCTACATATTAAGTGTCCATATTCCGTAAACAGTGCACTCCGTTTTTTCGTCCATTCTTCTTGCAATCTAAGATACAAACTCATTGAATTATTGAAAGATCATAGACTTCAGATTTTTCCAGCTATTTCGAATACTTCAATCTATTTTGCTGTTATAAGATATGTATAACCACTCGAGATAGCTTCGGACAATGCAATACCTTTGCTCTTAGGAAAGTTTACCGAGACTTTATTCGAAACAGAAAGAAAAGCGATAGAGGAAGTGGTGACGCCAGATTAGAAACAGATGCTGATAACGAAAAGAAGAACATGGATCCACAAAATTAAAAAAATGGCACAATGCAATAGTTACGAATGGTGGCATTTTAAGACTTTGAGTAATTACAACCGTAAATAAAAGGTTCGACCTCAGTTGAAGTCTAGTTAATTCGAAGTAGTATCAAACTGCTTCATTCTCAATATTTACCAGAAAAGAAGCTTAATAAGCCTACATGCGAAGCATCCGCCTTCCTGAATGAGTTCCCATAAACTACAGTTATGAGTGGAACACTATTTCTAGCACATGCCCATCAAAACTCAGCTTTTGAGTCAGAATAAGATTGCAGAATTTTTTTCATTCATGGATTTTTCGATATTTGAAAAGTGATGTTTTGACTACTCACTGCAGTGCCAGTTATGTGATTTCTTGCGCTTGAAGGCCATCCCAGTTTACATCTTCAAGACTCAAGTAACTCATGGTACAAAAGTATCCGCCCAAATTTCGAAACGTGTAGTATCGCAACAGGTGTCGAAAATGTAATGTTTGCACAATTAGATAGGGCAAAGTCTCTGCTTTCAAAAGCATAATTTGAAAGAAAATTAGTAAAGTTAAGACGTTTTAATTCAATTTATCCTAGAATCATTAATAAAATGGCCTGTTGTCATATAAGTTTTTTCTTGACTTTTGTTGATGAGCTGTCAAATTTTTGATAATGTATCCGTTCATAAACTCAAACTTTCGAAATATATTGTGTAAAGCACAGACTTGCTGGTACTGTTTCTCCGAAATTTTCACATTCCCATGGTAGCCAACAATCAAATGTTCAGGTAAAAATAATGCATTCCTAAAGAAATTTAACCATTGCCCAAAACATCCAGCTTTTTTAGATTTTTCTTGACTGATAAAAAAACTTTCAAATTGATGCTACAATCTTAGGAACGCCGACTGAATACCTGCTTAGGAAAAACAGTGTTTTGGCGCTAATATCAGCATAAATAGGTCCACTTATAACTCGGCAACCCCCTATCCGACGAAACTCAGTTCTTTTTTTATCAAAGATCTGAAACTACTCAAAATGCAGCGCATCTTACGAAATCGTTCAACTGATAAAAAGACATATTAGCGCAACATCTCCTAATTATGCTTAGTTAAAAGCCACTTTTGACGATTTAGTAAAAATTATATGAAACACCTATTCCAGCACTGCAGATCTCAACACTAAAATGAATACTTTTGCTTCGACAGTTAGGTGCCATATAATGCACTAACGTATCTACCTTGAGTTCATCTAAAGCTACAAACCTGAAACTTACAGCAAAGACTTGAAGACTTATTGAGACTTTCTACGCAAACGTTTAGCAAATCCGTTACAATCATCTCGAAACAGCTGCATTTGACTGAAGATCAGCTTCGCAGCTTAACAGATGTTTTTAGAAAAAAGACCGTACTGCAACCGTTTGGAAATGATCTCTTACGAAATTTGGACTGAAGGTAGATGAAACATTTGGTTTTCGAAAGAGAAAAGACGGGATAGCAGGCATATTGAAACAGGTGAGATATGATAATTGCACAAAAAAACAATATCGGTCCAATAGCATTTGTACCTGCGAATTCATCAAGATAGAGTTAATATTTGTTACCTATATTGGTTAGTTTCCATTTGAGGTAAAAATGAGAATCAAAATGATAATCTCGGTAGACTTTACTAGTACCACAACTTTTGGTCATGACTATAAATTATATCCACATAGTAATTCTTTATAGACGAAAATGGAAACCATCGTTGAAACTGATACGACAACAGTGAGAGTGAAATCACATCAAAAGCAATACAAGAAATGGATTGCTTTCGCACTGACAATACTGGTCGTAATAATATTATGTACTTTGGTTTTCATTGGCTATTATTATTACAACAAAAATAAACATCGTCCAGAAGAACCACGACAACAAGATAGTAAACTATCGAGAAATTCAAGCCAGTCCATCGATAGTAACGAAACAGGTAAATATCAAAGACAATATTTACACCATCCGTTTTTTGTTTTCGTTGCTTTTTTTCTGCCTTGAAAGGATCCATTCTACTGTTAATATCGGCAAGAAAAGATGATTCTAACTTCAGTGGTGCTTCGTTCCCTTTACCTTTTCTCCTCCGGTGCTAATCATAAAGAATTATTTTCCAGCAGTGATGGTCTTTTGAGTTGGTAGACGTAGAAAAAGGAGTTTCAAGTTTAATTAAAACTTATTCATTCTAGATACCAAAGCAGCAACTAATAATTTTGCTTGTTTGATAGATTAGCATCGAAACCAGGATTTCATCTCTCCTGAAGTGTTTTGTAGTACGATATTCGCTACGACTAGGGCGAAAATTCCTCATTAAAGAGTAATAACTTACAACATTTCACTTCAACCTATCCTTATCTTGCGATACAAGTAACACCATCGATATTACTCGATCCCATTATAGTCATCAATAATTATCTTCAGTACTTGGACGTCACTCAGAAAAGCAAATGATAAATCTCTTTGCTATTGTAGTTGGATTTCCTGCTCAAAGCACATCAACAATCGTTTACAAATGCAACGATGAAAAGACTTCATGTGGCTGCTCGAGGCGTCCTGATATTATTTTAAAAATTGGTGGCGGTAAATCCGCTTCACACGGTCACTGGAACTGGGCAGTGTCTCTTCGTAATTCGAGCTTGCACTTCTGCGGTGGATCTATTCTTAATGAATGGTACGTTGTAACGGCAGCACATTGCCTGA